GAACCCGAATGGGATAAATGTGCACCGTCCATCGATTTTGACACTAATCCACGAAATACCGTACCGACTAAAATCTGCATAAGCCATTGCGTTCTATGGCTGCGCCATGGTGAAACACAGGTAGGAGGAGAACACATAAGGTAATCGTTTTTTACATAGATTCGAATTCTTCTATACGTCGTTTTGTATTACCTTGACGAATGCGCCTTAGGGTAGGACGACGATGAGTGGATTCATCAAAGTAAAATGAGTGCCGACGATCGACTTCATCCGGTTCCAGCTCAGATGAACCCGTATGGGAATAAGCTTTTGTGTACATACTATGTCGACTGAATACAGCGGGGGCAGCCAGATTCTGACCTGGAAGACATTGGGTCGTAGGGTAGGTAAAATGGTTAGATTTTAATGTAAGACACGGTAAGTTTCAAACAACTGGAGCATCTTATTGGAGAATTAAAGAGAATTATTAAGGGGATTTTAACCGAAGTAGAGTCAAGGACAGCGATTCAAATCACACTCCAAAAAAAGCTCCACTGGAGGTTCAAAGGTTCTTGAAAAAATTATGAAACGTATGCATCATGTTCAAAACGTCACAAATGCCAAAAATGTACGCCCTTTTAAAGTACCCCATTAGTATCGGACAGGTAAGTTAAAGCTTGCAAAGCACAAAAATGAAACCAATTATCATATCAGCAGTCTTGCAGAGAGAAAAATGGGTTCGCCGTATTGCACCTGTAGTGTTGTTTGTTCCGCTCTGTATCATTGGTGAAGAACACCTAATGGTACTACAAGACTACTCGGACGGCAAACATTTTGATTATAGTAATTACATTAGGTGCACTCTGAACGCAAATGATGAATTCTCACACAAACGCACAAATGGATTGACAATGAACTGAAATTTATTTTTGGAATATTTAACCGGTAACTGTTCAAAGCTGGAACGAACTAAACGACAATTGGTTGAAGTTATGTGGATAAGAACCTGTGTAGACTACAGAATTATAAACCAAGTATGTCATCTTTCGACGCATAGGGTATGAGTATCATAGATGATACAATAAATCGATTGATCAGTGAAAATTTGTAGTTCGATTTTGTTGTTAGCGGATGCATAGATCTCATCTCTCAAACGACAGGGAATCGTAGCCGAAAGGATAAGTTTGTAAGAGTGTGAATTTTGGACATCGTGAAAATGAAGTCACTTCGGGTGAACCAAACATGTGTTAATGGAAAGCAAAGCAAGGTGTGAACCTCCCGTGGCAGTAATTCACGCCCATTCACAAAATGTTGCGCTTAATTGTTATCTTCACATGTTAGGCTGATGATCACCGGACATTTAATCTTGCCAAAATGGAACTAACATTGTCTGTTTATCCGTTGATTTAACGTACTTCAAATGGGTACAAATGCCTTATTAGAAATGTCACAAAAACACAATTTGTATTACGATTCAAAGCAACTAGTTATAATTTTTAAGAAGAAAACTTTCTATAAGAAATCACTAGATGAAGTCTGAAATTCGGAAACGTGAGTGAGCGAGCACAATCAAATTATTTATTCATCAAGTAACGCTTGTCTATTCAGAGTAATTGTTTGTCGGTATGTGGAAAACCAATGCACGCTGTGAAGTCTCCAAATGGTTAACCTGATAACCACACAGGTGCGCAAAACCTTGACAAATCAGTCAATTCGGTCAAAACTTACAGAGTGCGGTACCTCGGTTTGCAAAAATAAATTAATCTAAAAGAAATCAATTTCTGTCCATAGCTTACGAAGTCAAAATCCAGCCAAAAACAGGTTTATAAAGGCAGTCAAAAAAGACTCGTTAGTCAAAAAATAATGGATGTTAAAATATTACTGTTTAAAACCATACAACAATGAGAAAAAAATTCGTTGTATCCTGTGCTAAGCAATGAAGGAGAGTGGATGTATTTGTTCAAATTGAAACAAGTCAGCAACAGGCTAACAAAACATACAAGCGTAGAAAACGGTCACGGAATGCCTGAAGGTGATAGGTTGAACATTAAATGGTTCAGTGCTCAAAGTGATATCAAACAAATACTCTGAGATACCGTCAGCATCACCATAGTACAGCGAGATACGTTGAAGCGAACTTCATTGATCGCTGCCAAGCTCGCAATTTACACAAATTAAGTGATAAAGTACTATATAGAGAGGGATTGGATCTAATTGGGGGGAGGCAAAGAAAGTGAACTAATATAGTCAACACACAGAGTACACAGTCTACCTGTGCACACATACTTTATCAGACATTCTGACCTGATGAATTCGATGCCATATCCTTCAGCGTTTTCGACCATCCAGTGTCAGAGACTGTTGGACCACAGCCTGAAAGACGAGAGACATATTCTAATTAATTGATCTATGCATTTCTTTATACCTCGTGTCCGCGTCATCTGTTAACCTCCACGTGGTTTCTACCAACCTGGAGCTACAGCTGCAAATAAGGCGTTACGCGATAGACGATAGCTGGACATGCGCAATACCTGTCCTAACCAGTTAAGCTTACTCATCGGAATTCTGTGATGACGAATTTCCCTCTGAATCATTACTGAATAAGCGATGACTTACCTGAGAATTGCTCACACGTTCGCTTCATCCAACCCGTGCCAAAATACTTACATATCGGAAGTCGAAGATTTCTACACAACGAATATCATTCCACACGTAAATTTAGGGTCTCGCAGCCATGGAGCAGAACTGACCGCACACTAGTGCAGTATACACGACCTTTTAAGTTCGACGAAAAATTACGGCTTCCCCAAAATTGTTTCACTCTTGTCTAAGCTGCTCGAGCCTTGGAAATGCGGGCGGTGACTTTCTCGACTATGCCACCGTCACTTATCACGCAGCTACCTAAGTGGGATAAACATTGCACTAGAGCTATCTCTTGACCATCAAGCAACAGCACTGAGGTAGAAGATACTCAATCTTGTAGCATCATTTTGCACTTTGAAGGTGTAAAGCGCATGCCAAGTGGAGTTACGGGACTTCAAAGTCTGTCATGAGCGCTTTGCGCATCCTACATACATTCGAACTGATAAATGGTGTCGTCAGCATACTTTATACCACATGGCCTTCCTCCAACTACCCATTCAATACAAACATTTTGGAGACCAATTAGTGGGTTCTCCAGTATTTTGTCTACAACGACGTTTAATAGGAATGGCGAAATAGGACACCTTTGACGAACACCGCACCTGGTTTCGAACGATTTGCTTAGATCACTGCATTCCCTTTCTTTAACGATTGAATATCGCTTGGTACTTCCGATTCTTTTTGAGGCGCACATGTTACCACCCTTGGAGGTTCTGCCTCAATCGCCGGACTAAGTGCATTAGCGCTAGGTCAGCTGAATGGTTCACAAAAATACTCTGTCCAGGAATCAAGTCGTTGTACTTTATTATGGATGCTCTAACCCATTTTATCGCAAACGGTCTCACTGACCGGTATGCGTCAACCTCCAGTTCTGCCTACCAGATGGTCTTTGACTATTCCCTGATGCAGAAGCTACCTCCATTTTACTCTATTTTGGCCCACCATTTCTTGTGATCTTTCTCAAGACCTTACCTGAGCTGACGTTGCACGTGCCACCGGTCCCTATGCTGATCCTTGCATATTGGGATCTTTCGCTTTTGTTCCATCAGGATTAGGATCTGCAATTTTGTACCGAACCTCGCCAACAGCAGCTTACAGCTATGGGATCAACTTGGGGCAACTTTCCCGTCGAACGAGAACACCATGTAGCCGTTTGACGAGAGCCGTGTCGAAAGTTAGTGTCAGATAAGAAAAAACCGATGATCTGCGCAGAACTGAAGTGGTCGATCACCGTTGTCTGTTCGCTGGGAAGGAAGAGTGAAATGCCCTCCTAGACAGGCTTCAGATGCGCTCGGTTTTCCAATCTGCGCGATAAAATCACCTGATAGAACTATAACGTCAATGCTACGGCTAAATCAGATGAGCTGGGTGCGTTCGTCGTAAAATTCATCCTTTTATGAAGTGGGACTGCTGTTGGTGCATATACGGAATTGATTAACAAACACCTATTGGTGTTGTTGCTCTTCCAAACACTAACTGAACCCTGGAGCCTCATTTCGCACAAATGACTATTGATGGGTGAAGCTTGATCTATGTAATTTAGTACGATTCCTTCATTACATTGACTTAGTTAGCGGGCTCCTTCGTCACCTGATGTACGAAGAAATACCTCGCGAACAGACTCGGTGCACTCAGGTGGACTATAATACTAGTATCCTGAAGTCGTGTCTTGTTGACCCACCTGCATGAGGTTCCTCACGTTCAAGGTCCCCAAATTGAGAGGTTTACAATGCTTCAAGATTGGCACTATATTTGCTATCAGACTAATGACAGTTATATTTGACAAAGACCTTTTGCGAGTGATGAACACGCTGGCCGATTGGACGTTGCTGACCGGAGAAAGGAATAAACGGATAGGGTTGAGTATAGAAGACAAAGGATTAAGCAAAGATTGGGATGTCTGAGCATCAGCCCACTTATCACTAGCCACCCTGCTCGATGCAATGGGAAGCGCGGTCCTGATTATCATGCGCGATGATCGATACATTATGAAATTATTTTTAGTTTGTGTGTTCATTGGAGCTTTATGGACGAGTAAGGCCAGGGATTCCAACCATTAGGCAGGATAACGATTAGGGTTCTCAGCCAAAGCGTTTAGTTCTGACAAGAACCCAACCACAAGGCAACGGTCAAGGCGGATTGGAGACCCATTAACTTGAATCCCACTTCAAAGAATCCATTCGGTACAGAACAGAAAAGGAAAAAAACTACAAATCTGGTAGGTCACGCAAGTCTGGTCCTCACAAAGCAATCTGTATGTTTTTCAGTTTATAAATCACCCCGACTGACGATGACATATTTGTCACGTATAAATCTTTAAAAAATAATCCTGCTGAAGCCACTGATGATTGCATGGATGACGACCGGAAGATTGGGACGATTGCAATAGCCGTCTTGTCCAATAGCGTGTTGGAAATATATTCTATTCATAGGGTTTTTCCATTGTTATCCAAATGGAATAGAGAATTCCCCCCAATCTTTCAGTCAAGACATGAAGAAAACGTAGGGCGTAGTTAAATGAGGTGCTTGGTCCACATAAATGCATATAAAGCAATGTGAATCATCAGTTTAAACGGCTGTCTAACCTACTTCAATGACACATCCTTACAGCTCACCTGCAGGACTTAAATCGATTGAAAATAGACGATTATCTTCACTGATCTGATGCATACTCATGCGCTGTAACACTGTGTCAGGATGAACTGTATAGATGTAGTTCAAATCAAAGCGCAGTTCTTCGCAGTCTCCCGATGTTGAGCTATTCGGTTTACTCCTGGAAACATTTCCGTTTTGGACTGTCGACCGTAGCGTAACATTGTCAACTGACGGAAGCTTCGTGCCTCCATTAGATCGTTCGACCAGTTTGGGTGATCCACATGGCTGAGATTCTGTCTGCATAGGTAATAAATTTGAAGTATTTGAAGATAAGTTGATCGGTGATGACGACTGAGAGGACATTCTTGTCGACGAAATAGAGTGAGTCAAATCAGATGACTCTTCGCGATTAGAATCAAGGGAAAAATCATCCGATTGGGGAGGTTTGTGTGTTGTGTTTGGACTTAGGGTTAACTTTGGTTTGGAGTTCTTCTGATTTTCAGTGTGAGGTTTTTCAGGGAGGGACTTTGGGGGTATGAGGATTGATTCCGTTTTATCTGTGATTTGTTTCGGTCCATTGATCATGGACTCACGTTGACTTCCGCTGGAAGGGGTACTACCCACAGAAGTAAAATCTATGGTGATTGGAGTGGGTTTGCTTAAAATTTGTTCCGATTTCGGTCGAGATTTCGAAGGTTTTGATGCGAAGCGTTTATCTCCTTGACCGGTATTTATAGACTCTTTAAGACCAATGGGAATCGGTTGTCCGTTTGAGGCCGTGTTCATTTTAGCCAGTTGAGCACGTTTGGCTTCAAGGCGCATTGAGGAATCCTTTACCGAGTGACTTAGTTCGTTGATTTCTTCCTGAATGACTGACTGTTCAAGAAGCAATTGGTTTCGCTTCTCCTTGGATTGTTGGGAACTCTGAGGGACATAGATTGTGGAAGTAGAACAAATAAGTACCATGTGACAAATTAATAAAATAGTCTTGCGGAAAATCTGGAAACGAGTGAAGTGTTGTCTCATGTATGAGAGTGAGCATTTCTAGAAGGTAATAATGAACTTCTTATCTCCTCGTGTCGAACATTTCAGAATCAAGCGGCATTAACATCAACAATTTCTACGAATTGAGTTGAATGCATCTTTTTACCTGGATCGTCAAATAATCATGGGAAAAAATTAAAAGTTGAGAGTGTGAAGATCATCAGCATGCACGTCTCTGTTTTGACAAAAAGCTACCCACCGTAAATAACTAATTATCGTACTACATTCATTTTTTCCAAATCTTGATTTTTGTTTTGGCACCAAAGCAAAGCCATCTAGATGCTGCATCAGAGATACCACACGACGGAGGCTTCCATGCGCGGGTTCGAATCCAACTGAGGTTTATGGTTTTTCACATATAAAAACAATAACTCAATCTGCCGAAAAGTATGAATTAAATGCCTGTTCACCATACCTACATGGGCAAGAAGAGATTGATGACTACGGTAGGAACACTTCGCTGTTCTGGTGTTTACATTTTCAGAACTGATGTGTTAAGTCATCAAAGCCTCTGACTTTTATCAACCAACCCATGTTTCTGCACTCCGGTTTCGAAAAAGAACCCTATTAGAACAGCATAAACAAGCGCATGTGTAAATAACTTATTCATAGATTTCACTTGTCAAAATGACAGTTTTTTCACAAACCAAGCAACCAACTGATCTAGTCTAAACTTGAAAAATAATCAAAGATCTTAGCATATTTATACTGTTTTTGGATTTAGCTTCTATCGCAATATGAATTGAATGATCCTAAAAGAGCACATTTGAGTAATTATGGTAGAGACGAGAATTCCCTCCAGGAAAGCATTATTCATTTCAAGTTCAATTTATTACCAACGATTGTGTTCATTATTCAGTCCTATGTCAGTTCTAATAAAAATCAAGGCAACTCGAAGACTGCATAGGGAGATGAAGAAACGAGAAAGTGGTTCTGCGGTGGTGGGATTCGAGCCGACGACCCCGGGTATCTGGAACAGTGCCTTAAACCGCCTGGCCAACACCGTAGCTCACGAATGGTTGGATCATATCAATTTTGTGTGGGAAAGCACATGAAACGTAAATAAGGAAGGTGTGATATAAATGCATTTGAAAAGACCTACCGTTTCCAATTCTTTATTGTTCAGCTCCATACGTTTACGCGCATCCTCTAACTGTCGACGTAACTCGGCCTCTTCGGCCAATTGTGCCTCCAGTTCCCCAACGCGTTTGGCCAATTCTTCTGCAGTTTTTTTCGTACGCTCCCGTTCGTTTGCATCCTCTTCGAGACGGGCTGAGAGTTGCTTAAGTTGCAGCTCAGCAACTTCTTGGGCGTGTAGTGCGTTCAAGAGTCTGTCCCTGAATAGATGATTTTGTATCATGATTAGGTTTTGAGACCTGCTCAAAATATATTCAGTCAAATGTACCAAAAATAAAATTTTGATTTGCTTATTGTTTCAACAACAGTCTGTCGTGATGGAGGACATGCGCGAAATTCGCCTGAGAATACGGTTGTATAGCAGAACCAAATGTGATTAGTTTCCTTCATTTTTATTCTCCAACGTTTTGACAGTTTCCAAAGAGTTCTTGGCATGTTGTGTACCGGCTTGTCAGAGCCTTCTACCATTCTGTTGATTATTTNGGTAACTGATCAATATCAAGACTTACTATCCTACTCATGGTGATACCATTTGGTGTTTGTTAGAGACCTTCAATCGTTAACAGGTATTTTATGGATTTATTTTAGAAAATCAAAGTAGACTGTCGTGATGGATCTTAGTTCTGCTGATTTGGCTGTCTGACACTGAATTAGGAACGGCAAATAAGAACTGCAAATGCGTCCGGAAGTCGATAGAATACAGTTCCAATGTTTAGGTTCATATAGCTTACCGTTCGAATGACTTTACTTCGCGTTCCGCGTTAGCCTGGGCTCTCATATGTTGCAATTCAATAGACTCCGGTTGACGCCGCCGAACGTAGAGCTCGTGAGCTCCCACACAAAGGCTGAGGAGACGTTGGTTGTATTCTACGCGCGAGGAATAGAAAATCAGCTTCTACAAAGAAGATTAATTGTGAAATTGTTTTGAGAATAAATCACCAAATCACTAGTAAGCAACAAAGAGATCTCACTCATTACAATAATTTACGCATTAATTGCAGCGGACCCATTGGAAAAACGACAAAAGCTGGGTTGATACAGCAGCACTGTAAGCTATCATCCAGTAAATCGTCCATGATTGTTAAGCTCCTCATCTTGTAGTTAGTGTAAGAACCCTGGCACCACTGTTTCAGTTGTTTAGTTATTCACCATTTCTCGATAGCCGTTTTATCACTGATTGTGAATTAGCAGTTATGGTCTGTGTTAGCAAATGTTGAACTCTTTCATTTCATTATAATTGCCAATTTTGCTTTTAATGCACCCTAATTTAAGCGCTAGTTTGATATTTTCTCATGTTTGTGCTACACAAGGTAATAGGAGCGGTCGATTTTACACCAAATATTCCAAACGTGTTTTCATCAAAGCATCACAGGAAAGGGCATGATGACAGTTGTTTTGCGTCGATCTCATTGAGAGAATCACAACTACGGGTGTATAGCATTCGAATCCGGTAATTTGTTTTGAAAAGCAAAAAAGGGGAAGATTTCTGCAATAAAGTTTAGCTAGCCATTCATCAGTCAAGGATACTGAGGGTTTTCTCCGAGTAGTTGGTTGAACTCTACTGTTATTCGCATTTTCGATCGATCCTTTCGAGATTCTTGTAAGGTGCATCATTTCAAGCGAGTAATTTATAATGTTTTGTTCAAGAACAATAACAACAATGATCGATTTGGTGGATTAGCAATATGAGTAACGGCTGACAGTGAATCCCGGAGGAGGACATACTGTCGCTACAAACAAGATAGATATGCGCAGGTAATCGAATCTCAACGAGCAGTAGATTGTTGTATCCTGAAATTAATGTGTGTTTACATTATATATATATATATATATATATGTGTGTGTCAGGGCAATTACAAAATCCGTGAAATGAATGACAATGAAAAGGTCTTTAACTTGATGTTTATTTTCATGCAGCATTGTTTAATAGCTACGGCAAATTTTAATCAATTCTGTCATAATCTTTCTTCACTCACACTAAACGTAGGAGTAAAGCGTAGATAAAACCTTAACTGATCATTAAATTAAAAAAACGTCAAACGCAAGAATAACGGGTTGCAGATGAACGTTTGGACTTGATAGACGCGGAAACAAGTCACGTGCTGAAACGTCCTAGATGATAATCATGCTTAGTGTCACTGAGAACGTGAAAAAATGCTCACATGATTCCTTCCACACTGTGATGAAACGTGGTTACGGTCAACTGTCCACGGATTACTGAGTCACACAAACAAAAGCACTTGGCAAAATGGTAATTCACACTATAGTCCTCTACCCCCACACACCCTACTTCTGTCAGAAACATCGGGCCATCAAATTATTCTGTTCAGATAGCTGTCTAAGGATGTTTCAGGTACGATGACAAAGATTGATAAAATTAGATAAAATTAACCGTTTTACTCGTCCTGGTTAATTGCGTTGTCTATAATTCACATGGAATGGGTTTCAACAATTGCTTCATGACACAGAACAAAGTGATTGTTTAAAAAACTGCAGGATCAATACTATCTAAACTTGCACCCTGTGATGCACACGCACATAAGTCGTGTTTCATAAGTTAAAACCTAAATGAATAGAAACTACATGGAAAACACTGATGTTTTCATTCCTATGGGCGGAGACTTGCAATCAACCCACTGGGTCAACCGTTTAGCCTCCCGTTTGAAATAAATCGGTCGTTAGAACACATTTACAATGCTGTCTGTCTGGTGTGGGCTACCTGCCGCCCAAAAGTAATGTCTGATAACTCAAAATCCGCTCAATGGAGCAAAATAATGTTTACTCTGTATTCATATCATGATTGTGATCAAACACGCATCGTTTCTTCCAGGGAGGGTACTCACTAATCAACAACAGATTATTTACAGTGTAACTCAACGGGAGAAAGCCTAACAACTAATAAGGCTGGTTCGTTGTGGTTGCCACTTATTGAATTCAATAATCGCGAATAGCTTCAATATATGCATTTTATATTTGTTCTGTATAAATTCATCTTTCACATATTTTTGCTGTGAATGCCACACAATCTTCTGTCTCGTTGTTTCGATTTTAGTAGCATTATCACAAGAAAGTGTGAACTGCCAAATCGCAATGAAAGTAAAACACCTCGTCAGCCGAGCTAGAGTCTAAAGATACTTCAACACGCTGGGTGCCGACAACATCAGTTATTAAAGAGAACAGAGAACATGGAGGTTTAGGATTTTACTGCGTACCATCTGAGATCATTTCTTGACTTATGCAAAACTACCTGATGAAGACGACAATAACGAATGTCGCTGGGAGCCGACAGTTATGCAACTTATTATGAAAGTGATAAAGTTAGCAATAAATGATTAAAATAAGCTGTCAGTGCCCCAAAAATGTTTATACGAACCATGATCAAGTTGACTAACACACTTAGATGACGGGGGCATAGTTTCATCATGACCAGATTCCAAATGATATGGTGTTTTCTTTTGTATAACTGGCTAAAACCCACACTCAAATAAATGTTTCCTTCCACCCGAATAAGTATAAAGACAATTGAGAATAAGATCAAGGTTTATATATTAAACGTCTAACATAAAAGATTCATTACGACAGAAAGGTTTTTTTATGGTTTTATTGGTCATTAGAACTATCTCTCGGTTAAAAAAATATGAAAATGACTCTGGTGAAGCACAAAACTTGACAGGCCCTAGGCCTCACCGCGAAATTTGATACAGTTCAGATGACCGGGTCACAATGTTTTGAATGCGAGCACATACCAACGGTTGTGTTTGTGCTCGCCACTGCTTCTAATCTCTGCATGTCATGCTTATTACATTGCACAGTGACGAACGCTCGAGCTTTATTTGACCCTGTGCTGATTACAATAAAAGGTCAAGTGTATTTGAGATGCCTGAGTGTCTTGACTGTTTTTCAAACTATGCTGTCGTCTGTTACACTAATTTTTATAGTTCTACAGTCAAAACCCCAAAAAGTACCTGCTCCTCAAACACGAATTCTTCCGAGAAATCACCGTGGTCAGAAAAGCCAATGTTGGTGAGAGTTGCGCAAATGATGAATTCCAACAGAAGAATTAGGACGTATTTCCTGCTATTTCGCACCCATGAGAAGTCATATTTTTCAAAATTTTTCCAGTTCTTGGCAAACCTAAACCAACGATTTATGTAAAAACGTTGGTCTTGACTATGCAGTGTCGCCCTCCCCCCTCGTATGCCACAGATCGTGATACTTAATCAATTAGTCGTTGAATAATGTGAGAGTTGACCAGTGACCAAGCAGCATGCAATGTCGCATTCGCTTAATGGCGTTTGACCTAGCGTGAGGAAGGCACGCACAGTAGTCTAAGCCGGTGGCCTGTGACGTGAAAATGTGCTGGCACCTATCAACCAGAGAGAAGCATAATGTGTTGGGAATGCTGAATCAGTCAGATGCAACTTAGGATTCTGTGGCAAACTCTTGACATTTGAAAGAAACTTCATGATACCTCTGTGGTATACATGGGAAAAGCCTACCCTGCAAAAGTCATTTTTAACGTATGGATGGCTTCTGCGTTATTCCACAGTTGGCTGTCCAATATCAGCTCAAAAATGGCTTCTCGGGGATGCCCTACTTTACTATTATTATATATAACACCTATTGTCACAACAAAGCCGCAGTGTACTCGAGTGTCAAATGAGTATGGCGGCCCCCAAACTGTTCTTCAGTGTTAAAACTATTACGTCAGGATGTGTTTTGGTCTTTCAAGTGTTCGTTCCGATACTATTGACTGGAATACTTTTTGTATTTGACACTAAATGAACAATCCGACATAAAAGCCGAAATGGACATTCATTGAAATGCATCTAAATATCTGTGCATCAGCACGTATTGATCCACGATTTCACAAAAGGCTAGATTGATAATGCAGATCAGATGATAAATACGATCTGGTGGCCTATTTCACCTCTGTTGACGAGTGTCATTTTTGAAGAAATCGTCTGTTTGGAATTTGACGATGAATAAGTGGGTTACTGACAGACGTATCGAATTTCAGTTTTCACTTTTAGGTTAACTTGTCTCAAACGCATCGAGCTTCTGTGGTCAGTTTTGTCATAGCGGTCACCAAAGTCACAGCCAGGTTCACGACCGTAGGATTATTCTTGTGAATGGGATAGAAATTCCGTTCGTCGACTCGGTTGCACTAACGTAGCTGTACAAACGGGTGAACAATAATCACGACTCACCCGGTCGGTAAGCGAGGCTGTAGAGTAAGATGTTCGATCGATCGATAACCGCTGACGCCTATGCGAACGGGTGAAAGATGATCGCAATTGTCCGTGCTAGAGTGTTGATAAAATTGGACAGGTCACTGGTCAAAGGTCATCGCAACAATTACGACCTGGGTTTGAGCGATGCACTTCTACTGCGGGAATCATGTCATCGCGTGTTGGTCACCAAGGTCATGAGAAATAACGGCGACACCGATGTCGGCTAACACTGGTCTTAATGAAGTTCACGATCTTTTTAGGTATACAACAGCAACAACCAAAACGAACGAACAAACCAATGTCTACAGGCACCAGGGTACTCATTGGGAAACAAGATATGTAGTGATATGTGGTCTGTCCAGAACCAGTTCTGTGGTTCGCACAATAACTCTTTCCCGAATGTTGAGGTGTTAAATCTTCAATTCACAACTATATTTGTACTTAACTCAATACCATCTTCATTTACATCTACTGGACAGGACCGTTTTATCACCTCAATGCAAATCTTGAAGGTGCTGAAGTTCCTTAAAATCCAACAAGGCACATGGCTCTGATTCATTATCCCTCGTCCAACTGAAAGTATGCGACGAACAACTTGCCTCACCTAGTTCAGAGTAGTTCAGTTTGTGTCATCTGGAAGCATCCATGATTGCTGCGGGGC